ATGTTGTGAATTCTATCTATCACGATTAAGATTTTAACATTATTAATTATTTTCAAAATCTTTCTGTATTACACTTGCAAATAATAAAACCTAATCATAAACAAGGCTATTGTTGTTGAACTTGTTTTTCATTTGTTTATATATTGTATTTCATTTTACAGGTAGAAGATAAAGGTTCCACTTAAAATATATATATTTTAACGTCACTTTTTTTAAAAATGAATAAATAAATAAATAATCTATAGAGAAAAAAATATGTTTTAAGTTTCAATGCTAGGGCCCCATACCAGGAATTGCTTAGGGCCCCCTGGGCACAATTAATTAAAATAGAAGTAAAATAAGATTCATTACAAGTTTATTTTAAAAAGCAACTAAATTGTTTTGCATTTTCTGATTTTTTTTCAGATGAATAAAATGTATTCCATTTATATGCAGTTAAAGTCAGAATTATTAGCACCCTGCTTATTTTTCCCCAATTTCTGTTTAATGGAGAGCAGATTTTTTCAGCACATTTATAAAGATAATAGTTTTAATAACTCATCTCTAATAACTGATTTATTTTAACTTTGCCATGATGACAGTAAATAATATTTGACTAGATATTTTTCAAGACACTTCTATACAGCTTAAAGTGACATTTAAAGGCTTAACTACAGTAGGTTAGTTAGGTTAACTTGGCAGGTTAGGGTAATTAGGCAAGTTATTGCATAATGATGGTTAGTTCTGTAGACCGTAATCGAAAAAAATTTGCCAAAAAGGGCTAATCATTTTGTCCTTAACATGGTGTTTAAAAAATTAAAAAACACTTTTATTCTAGCTGAAATAAAACAAATAAGACTTTCTCTAGAAGAAAAAATATTGTAAGACATACTATGAAAATTTCCTTGCTCTGTTAAACATTATTTGGTAAAAAAAAATAAAAAAGTCTAAGGGGTCTAATAATTCTGACTTCAACTGTATTACCAAATATTTTGCTAATATTTAAAAATTTATATAAACACTATTTTTTGTTCATATATTAACAAAATATTTAGCAGAGTTTGCATACCCTTTACAGCATAAAATTTATTAAAATTGAGGTAAAACAACATTTATTACAAGTTGATATATAAAAACACATAAATAGTTTTACAATTTGTGATACTTAATCATTGAAGATTCCAAAAAATAAAAATCGGTCACACTTTTTTTGATGGTCCGTTTGTTGAATTTGAGTTACTTTGCATCTACATGCCAACTAGTTTTCATTAGTTTATAAGTAGACTGTTAGGTTGGGGTTAGGGTTAGTGTAAGTTGAAATGTACTTGCAAAGTTTATATAGTCAGTTAAATGTCTGTTTAAAGAGCAGTATCAGCAGATATTAAGCAGACAGTCTACTTATGCTCAAATGGACCATCAAACTAAAGCGTTGCCTAAAAATATCATCTTGTCTCATTCTCAAAAATCCTATCTTTTGTCTAGTCTCGTAGAGTAATCTTCTTGTCACACACCTATTGAGTAGTGTTTAATACTGATACATACAGTATACACAAACTACACAAATACTTGTGAATTACAGGTATCTTTCCACCACTGTAAATATGTAAGTGCTTTTGGCAGTCAATGTATGTTTTTTTTTTTTTTTTTTTCGTTTTCGTGTGTGTGCATTTGTTCTGAAAACAAAAATCCCATTACAGATTGGTTAACCTTTAAACACCTCTACAGAAAGTTATGATGTGATATATTTGGTTTTAATGATCACCACAACAGGAGACGAATTGCTCAGTTCAAGGTTGTGTCAACTTTTATGAGTCTTTGGCCGCACTAGAACACAAGAAAAATAAACTCTCCAAATGGTGACTCACGTCCCCTCTTTAGTGCATAAATTGCATTAAATATAATGAGTGGTCTTAAACATGTGTTTCATCTGTGTTTGATTCAAAAGAGTAGATTTTTAATGATCTTTTGCAAGTCCAGCCATTTCCTCCTCAGCTCCTGTGTAACCCCTCACAAAACTTTATCTCCATTACTACCATTCACAGGCAAAGAATTCACCTCAGTCTTTCCCCTTCTCTGTTTTCTTAACAAAACTAGATCTGCTTTTGTTCCTCACGCCTGTGGATACTCTAACCTCTAGCATAACTAGATGTGTTATTGTTCCGGTGCGCAGTGATTGTTGATGCTGCAGTGTTTTCACAGGCTGTTGGCTGACCTGAGGTAGTTTGAATTTCCCTACACTCCAGTAGTCAGGTACTGTATGACCAATAGTAATTCATCCTTTGCACATTTAAATTAATTTGATCATTACAGTAATTCTAAAATTACATTTATTTACAGAATCTGAATGAGCTTTATTGGCCAAGTGTGCGCAAACACAACAATCTTTTGTGGTTTTTCAGGAGCTTAGGGTACGCATCACAACACAATTACATACATATATTATACACTGCCTGACAAAAGTCTTGTCGCTGATCCAAATTTTAAATGCAACAAGTAATACAAGAATAAAAAGCATCAACTTCTAGTTGATTATTTGGAGAAGTGGCAGAAGGTAGATTTTTTCCAGTGAATCATCTGTTGAACCGCATCCTAATCATCACAAATACTGCAGAAGACCTATTGGAACCAGCATGGACCCAATATTCTTATAGATATCAGTCAAGTTTGGTGAACGTAAAATCATGGTTTGGGTTACATTCAGAATGGGGGCTTGCTAGAGAGTGGATGGCAGCATCAGCATTCCTGAAAGCAAAGAAGGTCAAGGTGCTCAAGGACTGGCCAGCCCAGTCACCAGAATGAATATTATTGAGCATGGGTAAGATGAAGGAGGAGGCATTGAATAGGAATCCAAAGAATCTTGATGAATTCTGGAAGTCTTACAAGGATGCTATCTTTGCCATTCCAGATTTGACTTTCATATAAGCCACTTCTGATACCAAGTGATCAACTAGAATTTAAATTATTATTTGTTGTTTCTAAAACTTGGATAGCCAACTAGGCTTTTTTCTAGTGTATAAATACCCACAGGAGTATTTATAATTACAGGCTTGGGTGTATATAATACATACATCTAGAATGGTTTATGTACCAGATGTGCATTGTTGGCATTTTTAACTTTACAAATAAGAAAAATATGTATATTTATATAACATTATTTACAATTGAGTAGCTCTATTAGGTACAAACAACATAAAGAGTAAGAGTCCTGTATGCTAACTATTTAAGCTGGATAAGGTCTGAGGAAATAAAAGAAACAGTTTTTATGCCTAGATGCTTTTTCCACTGTAAAAAAAAATCCCCCACAATCCCTTCATGTTGTCACAACACAACACAAATCGATTAAGTTAGCTTGTTTGTTTTTCAGGGAGTTCGCAAGGTCTTAAAAAGTTTTTCGTTTTACTGAAATATTGTGTTGTAGGTCTTAAATATTTTTTAAACATTTTGCTAACAATAACATTTTTAAAAGTTCTCCATGTATTTACTGCTGAGGAAGCTGACCTGAACAGACTGATGTGCATAAATTTAGTTTGTTATAGTTTTTCAATTATTGTTTTTAAGAAAGGTTATGTAAAAAAAAGACTAGAGCTTGCTTGTTTTGACACAATATTTAAAATATTTTGCTCAGAATTAACTAAAATATTTAATTTTTAAAATTATTATCATTTAATGTATTTCATTATAAAATAAGTTTGATAGGGCAAATAAAAATCTTTTCCAACTGGGCCCTTCGAAGAACTCACTTAGCCCTGTACGAGTCTAAAATTTTATTCATAATGGTTTTAAAAATGTCTTACAAAGTCTTAAATTGAACTTGCTGAAACCTGCAGAAACCCAGGTTTTTACAAATTTAAGTGGATTGAACATAAAACAATTAAGTTGTCCCAAAAACTCATGAATTGTGTTGATCTAGATTATTTTAAATGAGTAGTTTGAACAAGCAGCAAAATTTTTTTAATAAATTATAAGTGTTGAGAAAATTGCTTATTTCCATGACAGTGTGAAATATGAATAGTGTTACCTTAATCATTATATTTGCTATAACAGTTTAACAAAATGGATATGTACAGTAAATTAAATCATCATTTACTCACCCTTTACTTGTTCATGTAACATAATTTGACTTTCTTCTGTCGAACAAAAAATCAGAAATCTGGAAACCTGTAACCTTTGATTTCCAGGGTATTTGATTTTCCTATGGAAAAATAATGATTACAAGATTTCAGCTTTTCTCAAAATATCTTCTTTAGTGTACAACAGAAGAAAGAAACTTATAAAGGTTTGCAACCACTTGATAGAGAGAAAAAATGCTATTTTTGCTTTAATGTATCCCTTTATTTTTTATATTAACATTAACATTTGCTTTGCTTTTTTCATTTTACAAGCCAGGTTGTGGAGACAGTGGGGACATTTGTTAAATGGCTGGATTCAGACTTTCTAATAGCATAATAGCTTTTTCATGACATGATAGCACATCACCACAGCTCCCTAGAACCAAGGACAGATGAAATAGCAAGAAAAACACGAGAAAACAATATGAAAAAATGGAAAGATCTGAGAAAAGCTGAAATAACAAAGTTCTGACAGATGTCGAGATATGACTGTGGCTGTCACAGCTGATACAGCCTTTAAATTCTGTAAAGTTTGTATCTGCTTTTTATAAAATGTAAGCATTGCAGTTTGTTATAAGTTGTAATGCATTCAGAGTTTAGTCGAGGTGGAGAGGTGGATAGGATTGTGGGGGGTGGTGCAGTAAAGTCAGAGTCCCAAACCATTTCCATCCACACTCTTATGAGAAACATACGTTACATTTTGGTGAAGAGGCACAGAGACTGCTGCACTTCCCCCCATTCCCCCCAAAATACACACACACTGGTTCTGCCTGTGCCAAAAACATCTTTTTTTTGACTCCCCCTTTTTTTCAGTCACTCCTTCCATCTCTCCAACCCTCCCTCTCTCTCTCTCTTTTGCTGGAACGTCAAGGGTGAGATTGTAAGTACTCAGATAGGCACAGATCTCCACTGGACAGGACAGGGAAAGGAGGGTGGACAGAAAGAAAGAGAAAAAAATTGAAAAGTTTACTACAGGTAGAAGTAAAAGAAGAATGGGCATCTAGGGCATTACTTTAAAAAGGGAAAAGAGTGCAAAGGAAATTAGGACAGGTTGTGAGGTATGGGGTGTCCAGTTCTGTGTGTTATTCTGCTGTCTTCACTACTTTGCCTTTATGGGGTGCAAGCTCAGGACTTAAGAGAACGCGATGCGCTCTGCAATGAGGATGGGTGCTATGTACTTTACTTTCAGCGCAAGATCTTCCTGGACGCCTGGCGGAGCTGCAAGGAACAAGACGGGAATTTGGCTACCATCAGACATCCAAAGGATGCAGAAACGGTCAGAGAACTCTTCTCCAACGTAGAACTGAGACAGCACCACAGAGGCAAGGCAAATATCTGGATTGGCCTTCAGAGACAACCACGACAATGTTCTCCCACCCGGCCCCTGCGTGGCTTCTCGTGGGTCACTGGAGATCAGGACACCCAGTTCACAAACTGGCTTCAAGACGATTCAGCAAGTACCTGCTCATCTCCACGATGTGTGGTGATGCCCTACAGCACTGTAGCTGCTGACCGAGGGGATAATCTAAAATGGAAAGATGGACCTTGTTCGATTTCAGTGGATGGCTACCTGTGCAAGTACAACTTCCGAGGGATGTGTACTGCTATTGCTAGCGAGGGAGGAGGGAATATACTTTACAGTACTCCTTTTAACCTGCTGAGTACCATCTTAACACATGTCCCGTATGGATCTGTTGCAACTGTACCATGTCTTGCTAAGGATGACCAGTCAGTTCTGTGCACACAAAAGGAAGACGGAACTGTATTTTGGAACAGAGATCCACCTTTTTGCACTGAAACATCTAAGACAAGTTGGTGCGATCAGGATAATGGAGGCTGCCATCACTTCTGCATTGAAACTGGCTTGCACTACTACTGCGACTGCAATGAGGGTTTTCTCCTGGCTGAAGATGGGGTAAGCTGCTTTCCGTCTGACCCTTGCAATGGAGCTCCATGTGAGTTTGAGTGTTTGCCTGTGATGGATGGCTACCGCTGTGCCTGCCCTGATGGCTACATGTTGGCACCTGACGAACGGGGCTGTGTCGATGTCGATGAATGCCTACAGAGTCCTTGTGAGCATATCTGTGTAAATTCACCTGGAACTTTTGAATGTCGCTGCCGGGATGGGTACCAACAGGATGAAGATGGTGCTTGTGAGGATGTGGACGAATGTATAAACAACCCGTGCGAACATGCTTGTGAAAACACAATGGGCTCCCATATTTGCCATTGCCATTATGGTTTCGCCCCATTGCAGGAGGACCAGAGTCACTGTCATGACGTTGACGAATGTCAAATTGAAGGCACATGTGAACAGATGTGCATCAATTATGATGGAGGCTTTGAGTGCTACTGTGAAGAAGGCTATAATCTCCAACCTGACCATTATTCCTGCAGACCTCTTGGAGAGGACACAACCACTGTTTTTGACCCATCGTCTACTCCCATCTGGGGACCAGAGCACTCTTTATACCCATGGCACTTTTCCCACGGACCTGATTTGAAAACACCTCAGGACTGGCAGACTAAGCTGCCCAAGGTGGAGACTGTTTCAACAGACTCACTTTTGACATCTGAAGAGGAACCTGAAACAACTACACTGACTGAAAGCTTCCCTGAGGTCACTAATATTGATGGTTACCTTCATCCAGAAGAGCCGCGTCATAATGCATTTTTTCCACCAACTACTCCAAAGCCCACACCAGACTATTATGAGGATGAGAGCACCACAGTTCCCACAGAACTCCCTTCCTCCACAACTTTAGGCGGGGCTTGGAACTGGCTTTGGTTCAGCTCTACCCAAACAAAGCCTGAGATACAGGAAACTGCAAATAACCCTCTTGACTTCCCTGGAGACTACGACCCTTATGACCCTGACCATTTTAATGACCAGTTTGATAATGAATACACCACCTATGGGCCAGAGCAGCAAACTTCCACCTTGTTCCCAATGCAGTCACGAGGAGTAGGGGAAAATGATATTCTTAATGAAGACAGCAGCAGCGAGAAGAGCCACGGGACCAGCTGGTTGCTGGTTGGATTGCTAGTCCCGCTTTGTATATTCATTGTGGTGATGGTGGTCCTGGGCATTATCTATTGTACTCGCTACACAGTTAAACCACAGAACAAGAACACCAATGATTGCTATCACTGGATTGCTGGTGCTGGTGATAAAGCGGCTGCTGACATATCAGGGAGCGGAACTAAGTCCCACGTTTAAGCAGGCAGAACTGTGACTGGACAGTGTGAAAATGTAAATAAACTGTTTTGTAACTTCACAGTCGAGGGAGTTTCAATTTGATGGATTGGGGGGGAGGGGGCGCCCCATCTTTTTCCCTTTGACATTCTTCAGTCCATAATTATTTGTGGATGTTTATCTGGACAGTTTGCTAAGAGAGCAAATTGAGGCAGGGGGTAAGGAGGAATGACTCTAAAACCACCGAGCCTCATTCTCTGCTGTCCTCCAAGAGGCAATAAAAAGCTGTTCTACTGTTGCTCACACACTGATCTCTTAGTTTGCAAAACAGTTGCTCAACAGTCACATGGCAAACAAGACAGCTTGCTAAATTGATGGGAATGCATGGTTGTGTAATGTGGGTTATTTATTTTTCAATTTAAAGAACTTCCCATCTGAATAGCTGTGTTTGTGACGTTTAAGAGAGTTATGTCTTAAGAGATTTGTTCTGAAAGGAGCCATAATTTCAATCCAATTTGAATTTTGCTTCATGTTGTGATGTCAGTCTGATAAAGACCAAAAAGATTTAATGTTGCCACCAAACTGTGCCTAACAAGTCTACATAAAGTCCTTTCTAAGCATTGTGTTTCATGAGGTTCGCATGCATGCAGACCCTCAGAAGGGTCTTTTTTTTAAGAATTCCAAAACAGTCAGTTTGCAGTATAATGTTTTAATAAGTAACGGTAAGGGGGAATAAACTTGTTCAAACCACAAACCAATTTTCCTAATTTTTTACTGTTTAATAAAGTCCTCAAAATGGTTTTCTGTCTTCATTTTTTTGAGGCATGCATTATTTGTTTTTTTATTTGTGGGTGTTTAATGTGTAATATTTGCACCCATTTTAAGGTTACAATAAAGAATTTATGTGGCACAGTGGGTAGCTCTGTCGCCTCACAGCAAGAAGGTCGCTGGTTTGAGCCTCGGCTGGGTCAGTTGGCATTTCTGTGTGGAGTTTGCCAGAGATTCCTCTGGGTGCTCTGTTTTCCCCCACGAGTCCAAAGACATGTGTTTTAGGTGGATTGAATAAGCTAAATTGTCCGTAGTGTATGTATGTGAATGAGAGTGTATGGGTGTTTCCAAGTTATTAGTTGCAGCTGGAAGGGCATCCGCTGCCTAAAATGATAAGTTGGTAGTTCATTCCGCTGTGGCAACCGCTGATTAATAAAGAGATTAAGCCTAAAAGAAAATAAAAATAATGAGGAAATGATAAGGGATTCTCAATTCTATAAAAGTAAAGACTATTAAAGAACTATTAATATATAGAGTCAGTTCTTCCCTCCTCTTTGCACGACATGAATACTGGAGGGATTTAAACTGACTGATGGTGGTACTCTGTGCTATATACTAGCTGATTATCCAATCAGATAAATCTGGACAGACATCAGAGAGCTCCTTACTGTCAGACAGTGTTGTGGATAATTGCTCTGTTCTGCCTTCACATCATCACAGGAAAAACACTCTGGTGAAATCGCTCAAAAACCTACAGCTTCCTGCATGCTTTGCTTTTGTAGTTGTAGTACTGTGTGAGATGACTTTAGATTTCGCTTTTGGGTGGTCAGATAGAGGAATTTATTAAACAGGACAACTGTATTCAACATTGATGAGAGATGAACATTTAATGAGCATCAAATCAGCATATTAAAATGATTTTTGAATGCTTATGTGACAACAAGACTGACAATTCAGCTTTGCTTTTGCCTACATTTAAAAATTTATATAAATATTAGTATGTAAAGTTGTGCCTGAATGTTTGTGTACCCCTCACAGAATCTGTTGAAATATAAAGAATTTTAACAAAAATAAGAGATCATCATACACATTGCATTTTAGTTTTTATTTAGTGCTACCCTGAGTAAAATATTTTACATAAAAGATAGTTTACAAGACAAAACCAAAGCTAAAGTTATTAAAATTACTTCCTGCAAAAGTGTGTGTACCCTTTTTAATACTGCGTGGTTACGTGTTGATCAACAACTTTTTGCTTTGTGATGGTTGTTCATGAGTCTCGTCTTTGCTCTGAACAGTTAAACTCTGTATTGCAGATTCTTTCATTTTTCAGCATTTTCTGCAGATTTGAACCCTTTCCAGCAGTGATTGTGAGATCAGTCTTTCACACTGAGGATGCTTGAGGGACTCAAATGCAACTATTAAAAAAGGTTCAAATGCTCACTGAAGCTTCAGAAGGAAAAGCAATGCATGGTGGGGGAAACAGAACTAAACAAAAAACATAGCATGCTTTTAGTATGATCTGCCTATTTTGGTAAAATTCCTCACTTTTAACAAATTCTGCAAGGAGTATACAAACCTTCATGTAAAACTGTCTATAGTATATATTGATAATCTTAAGGCTGTCCTTGCATTGCAAATAGTTGAGAATTAAATCAAAACCATATTTTGGTGTCCACATCAGAAGATCTCTCTCTTTTTAATGTTGTAGCGCTGTGCTTATACCATAGTAATTTTGTGTAATCCAGTAAATCTCTGTAGAATGATGACATTTCTTGCCGTTCAGCCTTATAATCTTAAAATCAAAATCACATTAGACATTACACTTTCAAAATCATTCAAATACTAGTTCTAAAGTGACATGTTTGAAGCAGCCACCGTTTCTGCTCTTCTGACGTCAGCTGCAGATGTAAAAGTAGTTCCTCTTACAAAAGGGTTTTGAGACTCTCTGTGTTTGATTTACTTTATTTATACACATGATTATGCTGTCGAACTGTTGTATAAACGTGTGTGTGTGTGTGTGTATATATATATATATATGTGTGTGTGTGTGTGTGTGTGTGTGTGTGTGTGTGTGTGTGTAAGCTTACCTAACTTAATGCAGCAGTACTTATTATTTAATAATACTTATTAAAATATATAAAGCTAAAGCATGCCATAACATTTAAATATAATATCTTGAAAATGTGAAATAATTAAATGCTGTTGGTTTAAAGCAGGAGTTCTCAAACTTTTCAGCCCGCGACCCCTAAAATAGCAACCCCAGTGACTCGCAACACCCTCCATGCACGGAGGTGGTTATAAGCATACAAATATTGCACACAATGGGAACTATATAAACAAGCTCATTGACAACACAAAAAAGTGTAACAGTCTATTCTGTATAATCAATATTCTTTCGTTTAATTTAAAATTTAATCTCAATGAGAATGGTGAGCACGATGTTTATAGCAGAAGACTATTCTTGGTTTAACTTTGAAAATTAGGAGATTTTCCCCCTTGTTCTATCGTGGCCTTTATTTTTAATGTATGCGAGTACCATAAAGGTGTCAAAGTTAAACATTTGTTCTGTGAAATCAATCTGCTGCAACTAAAGCTACTGCTCTGATGTTAATCGAGCATAATAACTCTATAGGTCGCAATCCAATGGAAAAAAAAAATTAAAGGCTTATGGCTTTTTATTTTCATGTTTTTTTTTATGTAACTATTAAATATAAAGTATAAGTTAAAAACTATTTTAAAATTATGCAGGTTATGGATGAAATATGATAATTCTAATATTTGTATAAAATATATGAGATTTTTGGAAATCACCAAGCGACCCTTGTGAAAATGTGAAAATGAAATTTTCACAGTATGTCTGATAATATTTTTTCTTCTGGAAAAAGTCTTATTTGTTTTATTTTGGCTAGAACAAAAGAATTTTAAGGGCACAATTATTAGCCCCTTTTAGCTATATATTTTTGATAGTCTACAGAACAAACCATCATTATACAATAACTTGCCTAATTACCCTAACCTGCCTAGTTAACCTAATTAACTTAGTTAAGCCTTTACATGTCACTTTAAGCTGTATAGAAGTGTCCTGAATTATATCTAGTCAAATATTATTTACTGTCATCACGGCAAAGATAAAATAAAACAGTTATTAGAAATTAAACTATTATGTTTAGAAATGTGTTGAAAAAAATCTGGTCTTCATTAAACAAAAATTGGGGGAAAAATAAACAGGGTGGCTAAAAATTCAGGGAGGCTAATAATTCTGACTTCAACTGTACAGTGGGTACATGGAGTGGTGTGTACATGTAAATGTATTACAGTTATTGTTTTATGCTTGGATACTTGATGCTTGATTGAAACACCATAATTTAGCAGTTTATTTGTTTTCATTGTTTTACTTAATTGTTTGTGAGGTAATGTCATTATCTGATACACATAATTGTCTTTATGCAAATTGAGAAAGCACAATCTTGCAATCACTTCCAAGGAAATGTATGAAACAGTTCAGAACCACTGCTAAAATCACGCTCCCTTAAAGCCACTGAACTAATTCTTCAAATAACCGCTTTAAATATTCTAATCAACCTTCCGTAATAATTACTAATGTCAGTAGAACAAATGCTTTCAGTAATGAGTTTTATTTCAAAGGCTTGCTGATTGTTTGTGTTTGCTCTGCGCCCTCCAGGCACTCTCACTTTCAGCGCCGTTGATAAGCAGCTGGGTAAAGATTTCAGCAACACTCTTCAAAGGGAAAACGCTGGAGTATATCATGGCCTCCCCTCATTCCACATTCCACAGACGCCTCTTTTAAATTCAGCAGTGCATTAGGAGGGGGAATGGACCGATTTATGTTATGTATTCCAAAGAGTGTTGAGCATCACTGGTTTAGCTGTGTCTGTGTGTGTTTGATTGCAGGCGTAACCAGACTCACACTTTCCTGCATTTCCTGATAAACAACCTGTCAGCTTTATTAATTAGGAACAAATTATTGTTGGAGCGCCATTCCAACATTCCAGGGAACATATAGGATCTGAAGTAATTTAAACCTCATTTCCAGCCCCTATAGGCTCATTCAAAATTCCATGATCTTGTCAGACGTGGAATATTTGCCAACATGTTGTTAATAGACCTTTTTTATTTTCTCAGTAACTTAGTGAACTTAGTGAGTGTAAAAATCTGTAACCTATTTAACAATTTCCTTAAAACACTGTAAAAAAAATACTGGGTTCCACACAATTCTACATAAATCGATTAAGTTATCTTAATTGTTTTATTATTTAAGTGGATTGAACATAACAATTACGTTGTCCCCAAAAAACTTAAAAAATTGTGTTGTTTTAATTCATTTTGAATAGAATAAAAATCAAAAGTTTATATACTTAATGGTGAATAACTATAAACTGACATTCCTAGAATTGACACTTCTCTGCACCTACTGAGTAAACAACCACATGACACCTGTATCGCGAAATGCGGAGGCTTTTTTTTTCCCCATATGGTGTGCGGTATCAAATTCCATTAAGCTACACTCTTCCAGCAGTTCATACTCGCATCTAATATCTCATTTTTCAAGGGGGCATGCATGAAATATTCCTGAATGAAAGTGAAAGTGGCAAACTGCAGTTAAAGTGGACATATTGAAAATGAAACACTCAAAATTACACGAATCTCCAGAGGAAACGTGGATAGCGCAGTGACGTAATGATGTTAATCGATCTATGTGTTATAACATGTAAAATGTGATAATGAAAGGAACATTGAAAGGAAGCAATTCATGTGAACACCTTAATCATATTATTGTCTTATTCAGATTATGGCAAATCATTCGATTACTGATGTCCATGTAAACATAATCATTGATACAAAAACTCTGCACTCATATATAGGCATGATAATTAGCCACAACTGATGCGACTGATCAGCACAGTTGATCGGCAAAACAATCATTCATGTGACCAAACAACACCAACATGCCACTATAACGCACACAAATAAAACAAAACAAAACCATGTGACAATAACACGGACACACCAG